TTGAAGTTTTTAGAGTATAGAATAAATGTTGAAACATTGAAGCGAGAGAAACCAAAAATAAAAATAAAGATATTTTGTTGTTGTTGTTGAGTATGGATTATGGGTGTTCAAAATCAAATCGGTCCAATAGAAAATTGTAAAATCGAACTGAATTAAATTGAAATCACAAAAAATCGTATTTGATTCAGATGTGTTTGGATCATTTCCTAACGGAATCATGTAGTTTGGTTTGATTTGCGGTTTATATTTTTTAAACCGAACCAAACCAAACAAAACTGCATTATGTTATAAAATCTTACTAATCAATATATATTTCTTTAATTTTTTAGAGAAATTAACATGTATTATGTGTATATTTTATCATACTTTGTATGATATTTATTTTAATTTACAAATCATAAAAAAATAAAATATGATTCATTTATAAATATTATTTTTACAAAATATATTTTATTGTATTCTTTGTATAATATTTATTTAAGAATGCAATCTTGTCTATATCATTATTTAGATTTAGATAAAATTATAATACGTAATTTTATGTATTAAATTATATTTATTTTGACAATTATAAATTTTTTTATGGTAATGTATGAACAATTAAACACAAAATTATATTTTTCTCTATATGTGTATGTATGACTTAATAATTTTTTATAAAAAATTGAATCAACTGAATCAATTCAAACCACATTAATTTAATTTGGTTTGATTCGAATTTATTTTTAAAAATCAACTGAATCAAACCGAAACGCATATTTTTTTTTGTCATTCATATAATTTTTTACTTTAAAAGTGCTCAAACAACACTATAACACTCCTGATATGGATATTATAAAGAGATAAGAGAAAATCAGTGACAATCACTAAGAAAGAGCCACGTGAAGTTCTGGTGGCAGATGATAGAATTATTGATTTTGCAAACAGATAGGATTCCCAACAAAACCTTGCAAAGAGATATACATTTGTGTCAAAGGACCAATGAAAAAAATTCTATCAAAATGAAACAAAAAAAAAAATAGAATTATATTTAAACGGTATTAATTAAAATGAAAAAATTAAAAAATATATGTTTATTAACAATACATCAATATAATTAATTCAATATTATTATTATTTATTTATTTTCAAATATTTATAGCTTTAAATGTATTTTTTTTTAAGTCTAGATTAAAGGAACATTAATACATAATATAGAACTAGACACAGTTACGAGAGATACATCACTTATCTATCTAAATTTTTAAAATGATAAATGAGTGAATTTTCCGACTTATATATACTTAAATTTACATATTTTTATTCAATATAAGACTATTTTTTCTCCTTTATTCACACTTATTATATTATTCCAACACAACTCTCTTATTCTATTCCAACACAACTCTCTTATTCAAAGAAAGGACATATATACAATAAATAAGAATACAAAGATTTTAACATCACAGACAATGACATGAAGATTACAATTTACATAGTACATATTTGGTGATATTGAATAAAACTTAGTGTAACTTGATGTAAAGCTATATCCGTGTGATTTAATTGCTCCACATATAAACTTATATTATAATACATGTATAATGAGGGTGTACGTGTTCTCTATATTCATAGCAACATATAATTGTATTTGCTCTACAAAAAAAAAAGGTTATTTGTAGGGGGTTTAAAAATCCCTACACAAATGATAAAAATCCCTCACAAGTACGAAATTTGTGAGGGGACCGATCCCCTAGCGAAATAGGAGGTCGCAAATTTATTTGCGAATGACTTTACACGTCGGTATTTTTTTAGAGACTAAACTCCTCGCAAAATGTAATTTGATTTTTATAGTCTGCAACATGCAGACGTTGGCGTATGCTAGGTGGTTAGCTGCTGCTGCAATGCGTCAGAATTTTTATTTGGAGTTAAACCCCTGACAAAATATAAATATTTTTCTATTTGCGATGGGTTAAGCCTTTGGCAAAATGAAAACGTTGACATTTCCTAGAAGTTTATCCCTTGACAAATTGTAAAAATATTTATAAAACGCATACGAAAAACCCGACAACTCCTTCTTTAAAATGCGGTTTAAGCCCACATTTTGCTGAAAATATTCTATCATACATCCCACTACGATAGAATTGATAATATTTCTTATTGCACATGTACAATATTGATCATGTTTAATTTTATTAAATAAAATGAGGATTGATCTATCGATAAATTTTTAAATTTTTATCGATAACATCATAAAACTAGTTATAGATTTCATAATATTCAATACAATATATCTACTCTAATTAAACATTTATTCATACAATATATCTACTTAATTTTAATAATATTTTTGAAAATTATTTAACCATACTTTTTAAATATATATTTCACCAAACAAATTGGATAACAAGTGTGAGTAAGTGAGGAAATAGTCTCACATTGGATAGGAATGTAGAGACTTAAGCATATATAAGTGAGATAACGCACTCACCTATCACCTTAAAGTTTTAGGTAGATAAGTGGTGTGTCTCTCACAAAGATGGCTAGTCCTACACTATGTATCAATGCTCCTAGTATCTCCCCCCAACATGGTATCATGAGCCTTTGGTTCGAGAAAGGGACCGAAAGGAACTTGTACCGAAATTCGTCCAAGAAGTGGTACGGTACAAGTGGGGGAGCATTGTGCACTCACACTTGAGGGGGGAGTGTTGGAATAATATAGCAAATGTGAGTAAGTGGGAAAATAGTCTCATATTAGATAGGAATGTGAAGACTTAAGCATATATATATATATATATATATATATATATATATATATATATATATATATATATATATATATATATATATATATATATATATATATATATATATATATATATATATATATATATATATATATATATATATATATATATATATATATATATAAGTGGGAGAACCCACTCACCTATCACCTTAAGATTTTAGGTGGAATGATGCGTCTCTCTCAAAAGTGTTTGTTCCTACACTATACATCAATGCTCCTAATAATCTCCCCCGAACAATATCTACCTATTTATTCTAATTAAACATATTTTTAATCTTGAAAATATATTTTTTAGAGATATCTTTTTTTAGATGAGTATATAAGTATTTACCATATTATACCTTCTAAAAAATTCTTTTTCTCTAAAAAACTACAGTTTCATATTTACTTATTGTCTTAAAAATTATTTAACCATACTTTTAGACTTATTCTTTTTTTTAAAAAAAATATATAAATATATTTACTATATTATATCTTTTAAAAAATACTTTCTTTCTTCTTAAAAACTATATTTCCTTATTATTTTCTAAATAAATATTATGATATTTACTAACACATAAAATATACTAAAGCATAAATTTATTTTTAATATTAAACATAAATTTATTATTTATAATAAGTAATTTATTTTTAATACTAAATATATTATACTAAAAGAGTATATAAATATTTTTATCATATTATAACTTTAAAAAATACTTTCTTTGTTCCAAATTAACATACTTTCTCAAAATAATAATATAATATATTAATAAACTTAATTTTTTTTAAAAAGATTTATTGTTTTTTTACACTATTTTTTTAAAATAATAATATTTTAACAAATCTGTTTTAAAAATAAATAATATTTTTTAGGATATAATGCTTTTAATAATACTGTATTTAATATAACTGTTTTAAATAATATTTTTTAATAATATTATTTTTAATAATATTGTTTTTAATAAATTTTTAAAAGTAATAATTTATAATGTTTTTAATTTTTTTATATTTTAAATAATTGATATTTTCATTCTATTTTTTCTTTAAATATATATATATTTTAATGTATTTGTCGTAGGTTTATAAAACCATTTTTACTAAATATTTTTAAAAAATTGTATTAAAAAATATACTATTTTTAAATTATATATTTAAATTGTTTTTTAACTACTATTTTAAAACTGTTTTATAATACTATTTTTTTAAAATTATAATACTTTACAAAAATATTTTTAAATACAAGTTTTTACTATGTTATTTATTCTGTTTTTTTATAAATATATTATAAAAATTAATATATTATCTTTTAACTATTTTTAAACTATTAATAAATAATATTTCACAATTATTTCAAAACAATTATATCATAACAACCCATTTCAATAAATAAATAGAACATAATTTTTTTAGATGTACTTTGAAGATGAACACTTTAAGTTTGAGTTCATTAATAAATATGTTATATAACCAAAATAATATAAATTAGACATAAAAATAAATATAAAAGAAAAAATTTACCTTAAAAAGATGAAGTTTTAGATGAAGATTTGAAGATAGAGGGTTTGTACTGATATGGTTTTCTTGAGAGAGAGGAAGAATACTTGTGTTTGAGAGGAAGAGAGTGTCGTATAAAATGGAGGAAATACATCAAGAAATTGACGAGGAGGTACCCAAGACAAATCCAGCGGTTATAATTGATAAGGGCTGCCCGTCGCAAACTGCAAGCTTCATTTCCTAAAGCAGTCTGCACGCCTGTACACAAAGCAGTGATTTGACTATACAACAGAACAAATTGCGAGAGAATGCACCATACAATAATAACGTTCTTATTTGGCTAGAGATTGCCGCTCGCAAATTACAAAAGAATCTCTAAACAACTTGGATAATAGTGACATTTTGCGATGGGTTACCCCACGTAATTGTTATAGTGTATTTTTGTAATGTTATACCTCTCGCTAAGTGTAAAGTAGGTAAAATTTTCAAAATTCAAAAGTCTCTCTTTAAATATTGTGACGGACATTCCCACACTTTTTTTCTTTCTGATTTGTAGTTTGTGAGGGGTATATCCCTAAATAACGTTTGAATTTAATGAGGAGTATAACACCTCACAATTACTCTTAATTAATATCACTTTTTTATTTATCATAGCAAATCAATTTCCATCCATCAAACAAAACTATAATTGCAAGTTTCTAAAATATAATGTTGACTACAATTAAAAATTAATTAACTAAACAAATGTAATTGCACGTAACTTATCTTTCACAAAATCCATGATAACTTCGTACTCTTCAATACCCTTCCTATCCACACCATTCCGAAGCAACTGAGGAAAAAACAACCAATTACCAGTAACAGCCAAAAACGCCACCGTAAACAAACCCGACACGGCACGGTGCAACCTCCACCCACGACGGAGAATAATCTTCTTAACCACAACCTCAAAAGAAACACAAACACCATGCAGCACAAAAAACCACGTGACTTCCCACGTGGGAGGCGCACGTGCAAGATAATAATAAATAACCTCGTGCATTAAACCCGACACAATAAAAGTTGCCAGTGTGGCAATAGAAGTCGCACATGAATTACCGACATAAGATGAAACGACGTAGCGAACGGGATTGTATACGGTAGGGCGTAGCGTACGCGTTACCGTGAGGTTCCACCTACGCCCCCAGAAATCTTGAAGCGAGGTTGATAAATACGGTTCGTTGAATTGCGGTTCGATTTCGAACCCAAAAACAGTTCGAACCGGTGCAGCACTAAGTGCTAGGACGAGTTCTATACCGAGGTACATGTGGCAGCAATAGAGGATTAAGATCAAATGAGGGTGCATGTGTTCTCTATATTCATAGCAACATATGATTACTACCAATATAACTACTTTGAAAAAAACAAGGGGTAAATTCGGTTTTTTAGGTGGAAAAGTAGTAGTTGTTGGGTTTGTTGGGTTAATGGGGAGTGATGCAATGGAAATGAAATGGAAGATTGTGTTTGGGAGAGGGAAAAGAGGAGGTTGATTGAAGGAGAAAAGAATGAGTTTGAAAGTTGAAAGCCATACAAGGAAGAAGATTGTGGGGCCACCAAGGTGAAAGGAATAGAGATTTAGAGGAAGGGTGATGAAGAGGTAGAGAATTGGGGAGATAGAGAGAAACCTTAAAAAGCCTTTTGGGATTTTGGAAGATATGTAGTAACAATAACATAGACATATTGTAGATGTAAGCCATACCTTAATGAATTTCTCAATTTCACCTTCCATGTCTATGTTTTTGTCTTCTTGAAACAATGTTATTATAGGTTTTGTGGTGTTTTAATAGCTTGTATTTTTTTTAGGTTATATTGAATTGAATTTCTCACTTTTCTTTTGGGTGTCTGCCTTGTGAGGTAAGTACAGCTGTACTAATGTCACTTTCGAAAACAAACAAGAAAACAAAGTCAAATAATCTTGTTACAAGTATCAAAATGGATAGATTGTTTTTATTTTGTTTAAATAATTTAGTGGTTGTCATTCATCTATAAAATTAAAAAAATAAAATGTTGGGGATATATATATATATATATATATATATATATATATATATATATATATATATATATATATATATATATATATATATATATATATATATATATATATATATATATATATATATATATATATATATATATATATATATATATATGTTTTTGTAAAATTATCAATTGAATTGATTTAATAGAAGTTAATATTTTTATCACTCATAATAAATTATGTATGTGTAATTAATGTTAATTTTTAATTTATTTATCGATCACTAATATTATTCAATTTACTTAAAAAATTGTATTTTACTACAAGATATATATGTAACTCATTTATTATATATTATAAATAAAAGGATTTAATTATCATCTCAAAAATTATACTTGACATCTCCGTAATTTCTTAATATCAAAAATGTTTTTTGTCAAAAAAAAAAATGATAAAATATCCGAACTAAATTTTCGATATAATATTGGAAAATTTTTATATGTATAAAATTTTCAGTAGTTCATTTGAAACTTTTGATAACTTGAAATTTCAAAATTATTGTTAAAATATCTCAGAATTTTAAAATTGCTGGTAAAATTTCTCACAAATTTCAAAACTTTTCAGAAATTTCAAAATTTGTGATAACATCTCCCGAAAATTTCAAAATTGTTGATAAAATCTTCCAAAAATTTTAAAATTGTTGGTTGAGTCTCCCAAAAAATTTAAAATTGCTGGTAAATTTTTTTTTTTGAAAAATTCCCAATATGTGCTTGAAATTTTCGATTTTGTCAGAGAGATTTCAAAAAATTTGGTGAAAACTTTAAACAAAATTATTATAGTCTTTTCTATTTTGGGGATGCCAGAAACAACTCTGGAGTTGATAAGTTAGATCCTCTATAAATTATTTTGGAAGTTCTTTTAAGAAAGTTTTATTTAGAAAGAAAAGAATTGTTTTAGTTTTTACGTTTAATAAAGAATGAATTACTCCCTCTGTTTCATAAAAAATATCTCATTTATATTTTTTTTCTATCTCAATAATTATCTTTTTAGGATGTCAATACACTGTTGTAATCCAAAATTCGCCTTCTACATTTTAATCTAATTGGTTTATACTTCATTACTATATGCATACATACATGTCATTGGCTTTATATTCATGGAATCGAGGCATTTCTTTGCAAGAAAGAGTTGTGAAAATTGATTGTTCCGTTAAGGAGTATTGCGAAGTAGAAATCAGGATTTTCATATTTTTAATATGTTCTGCATGTTTCCCAAGCTATCCAATCAACAACCAAGCAAGTTTTCATCATGTCAAGCTCTTATGTGTTTTAACACGCTCTGAATTGTGCAGAAAGTCAGGCGTTTCGGTTGATTTGAGACCGGGCAGACATAAATTTAGTACGGTGCATTTCAGGCTCAAAAATTCACAACTCAGGTTCAGAACATGGTTTCGGGTTGATTATTCAGTCGTTATAACCGTCTATTTACAGTGATTTCTGGTAAACAACCGCTAGTCCTCCAAACTATCAAATAATCTTAACGACTGTTATTTAATCTCTTTGGTAACTTGCAGGATCGACTAGATTGATCCTATGGGGTATTGGTCGTTTGGATAACTCTAATTGTAAAACTGATATTCATAGTTAGGATTTGTATTTAGAATGTTTTATAGACGTTCAACTCACTTCGATTACCATGTTAAAAGAGTCTAATGACATGATCAAGTAAAGAAATACGACACTGAATTGTATGAATAAAGATTCGATTGCAAAGAAATGTTTAAATGCAGAAATAAGTAAATAACTTTGAATGTAAAGACTTTAATGTAAAAAGCATGAATATAAAAGCATGAGATGTAAAAGAGTTTCTGAAATGTAAAGGATTCGAATAGAAGAAAACGTTTAAATGCAAGAAATCAGTAAATGACTTTAAATGTAAAGACTTTAATGTAAAAAGCATGAATATAAAAGCATGAAATGTAAAAGAGTTTCTGAAATGTAAAGGATTCGAATAGAAGAAAACGTTTAAATGCAAGAAATCAGTAAATAACTTTGAATGTAAAGGTATTTGAATGACATTGACATGAAAATGGAAGGTAAACTGGAAAAGGTAAAGAGTTTTACTGAATTATAAATGTTTGGTGTTATCATACGTACATTGTTCGAGCATTCGTTTCCCTAGCCATGTGGTATTTTGAATGTTTACTGAATTTTGCACAATAGATATGACACACGAAATCCTAATACTAAGACTTCTGTTTATACTACTTCGACCATAACGGTCTTGCCTATAAGATTCTGCCACGTTCAGAACATGCAGAGCACTGCTCCTCTCTAGCTTCCACGCGTCTTCGAACGCTCCAGCGCATATATATTTGAATTCCAACATCCCGCTCGCGTTCGAATTTCAAATGCTTTGGCAATCTTCGCTTCGAATTCATTTCACAGACACATTCTCGATACCACTTCGAGGCTTCTTTTAAATATATCTTCACAACTGTCACTCGAAGCTCCGAGCCTTGACATGTCCGTTCGAAGAACCGCTTCTACCATTCCGAACTGTAACATTTTGCTTTATTCCAACGAAACATCCATATTGCTTCACTTTGAACTGTATCATCAAAATCTTCAGCCAACAAAATGCCCCTTTAAAATATGTATTTCGATCCTTTGAGAAACACTTATTTTAAATATATTTGCAAGATTTTGATGTGACCTTTGAGTAATCATAACATTTATTGTGTATGACCCCAATCACGTCAATCACGACGCCTCTTGGATTTCTTAACCGCCTCGAACCAGTATTTCACAGCATGGTGCAGTTATAAAACAATGATTATTATTAATCACGCTTATTACCAATATCAGCCTTTACGCCACCTCCTCCTCAATCTAACCCACGACTCCCACGTATCCTAGTCTCACTTAGTGGATGTTTAAGCTTCCACACTATAAAAACTAATCAACTTAGTCTTTTATTCTTTTTCCACATTCTGAAACTTTTTCTTCCTCTCCTCTTACTAAAACCCTAAAACTTCCAACAATCTTCAATAATGTCTTCAACAACATCATCCCAACTGAAGAAAACTTCCAAGAAGAAAAACAAGAACACAAGAACAATTATGGAAAGCAAGGTTGGTACTTATCAAGGTCAATCTGTGCTTATCCCTCAAATGATCTCCAAGGAAAAGGAAACGCTCTACGCCTCTCAGGTATTGATTCCAACTAACGCTGCTGGAAAGAGGTTTGCTCTAATGGGTCCTCTTACATTTTTTGAAATCTTGAAAGATACTAGAAAAATCTTCCCTGTCTGTTACAACTTTAAGCCCTTGTTTAATAAGATGGATATCCCTAAGATAGGCGAGTCTTCTGATTCGACAACCATAGAAACTCCAACCGCTCCCCCAAAAGATCCCTTTGTGTTAGACTATGTGAAGAGCAAGTTTAAACCATTCCGATCCTGCCCTACCTCTGACATAGCTTACCAAAACTGGCTTACCAAAGTAGAAGCCAAGAAATCCCAGCAATGGGAGGAATTAGGAATCTATAATCTGATTAAGTTATCGAAACCAGGCTTCACCTATAATCATCCATTGTTATTTGCATCCTTATATTTCTGGGACAACACCTACAACACCTTTCATCTCCCTGGGGGAATGATAACACCCACATTTTTCGATATAGCAGCCATCACTGGTTTGTCACTAGTAGGAGAAACCTACATCCCTGATAATGAAGAACACTTCAGCATTATTGACTTCGAAGTCAAATTAGCCAGTTTTTCCAAATTCATTAGCCATTACCACACTGAAGGAGATAATGTGTCAGATGTGGAACATATTGCTTTTCTCACTTTATGGTTATCAAGATACGTATTCTGTAGCAGGTACTTACAGGTAGCAAGCAGGTTCATCCCTCTAGCTAGAGACTTACATGAGAATAGGAGGGTATGTTTGAGAGAACTGTTACTTGTTGATCTTTACGAAAGCTTAAGATCAGCCGTTTCGAGTTTGAAATCCCATACTCCCAAAAACATCCTTCTAGCTGGCCCCTTCTGGTTACTCCAATTATGGCTTAATGCCATGTTTGAACCCTCATTATCAACTGCTGACACCGTTGTTGAACAAGATCCGGAGATAGCGGATAGAATTATTGAAGGTACAAGGCTGCGAAAACTCACCCCGAATGATGATAAAGATGACTTCAAGGTCATTTTCTCAAACTACATCATGATTTTTTCCAAAAGACACAAATTTGAAGAGACCATGGCACCCTTTGCTTCAAGAACTCATGGACCATCATGGTTCACCATGTCTCTTTCAGAAGCAGTTAAAAGCAAAGAAAATTAAGATATTTGGAAAGCCTTTCTGCTTCCTAGATTAATTTCCTCACGAATCACTCCTTCTAAGAATCAAATCTTCCTCTTTGCCTATCAACCTAACTTTGTTTCCAAACAATTTGGCCTGTGCCAACTAATCCCTGAACCTCTGTTCCAAACAGAGAGTGCCATCACTTCTGGTCGAACCTTTAAAGCAAGGGAAGCCAAACTGCAACAGGAACAATATCAAGACTTCGCTCAATTTGAACTACTACCCTTTGAACCCACACACTTCACATCGAAGGGTTTTCTGGAATGGTGGACTAAGTTCTACCAATCTTATATGTTTGATACCCTCTCCATTCAACAGAAACTAACTGATGCGTTCGATGTGCAGGTACACTCCAAGAAAGGTATGTTCGCTCACGCTC